ATTAATCACCTCTGCTACATTTAGCCCCAATTCTTTCGAAATATTAAAACTTTGGTGAGATAGGTGTACTGTTTGCTGACATTTTTGTTTGTTTAAGTGAGCTCTTTTTTTTCTCCCTGGGCAGCAGTGTTTACTGGAGCTTTTGAATTCTCTGTGAGCAGGAGCCGGTCGGTGGTATATATATATATATATATATATATATATATATATATATATATTTTTTTTTTTTTTTTTCGCCCCTGTGGTATCTTGACCCATTGTGTAGATAGAGCATTGGCTGAGTAAGTCCTTGTTGTTCATTAAACAGTATGTCACCTCATCCAAGGGGTCTAGTCAAGCACATCCGCCATGTGGGTGAATCCTAACTTGCCCTCCAACGTAAAAATGATTTCATTTGGTCACTAAATTTGAAAACCGCAAATTCTTGCCAGAAAACCATCCAGCCTCATAGCTGAGCGTTGGCTGTGTGTGGTTCCCCTGTGCTAGGTCTGGGTCCCTACGGAGAAGGACCAGGTTCCATGTGCTGCCCTCGAGTTTCTTTTCATTTCCTGAAATGCAGTTACTCAAGGAAGCCATTCTGATGCACATCAAGGAAGCCAAGTGTGTGGGCTCTAGAACCAAAATGGCCACATTCAAATCTTGGCCCTGCCCTTGAAGATCTCCTGTGAGTCCCTTAATCTCTTTTGACCCCTGCTTTCTCATGTGTGAAATGAAATGATATTACGCCTCTCATATGATTATCGGGAGGCTTAAAGGAGTTAATACATGAGTTAATACATGCAAACTTAAATGAGTTGATACATGCAAAGTACTTAGAAGAGACCCTGGCACATAGTAAGTTAGCTTACAATTGATTTTATTGATATATCAATAAAATCAATAAAAGCTCTCAGTAGACAGGCAATTCTGACGTAGAATATCCTTCTCTTTGGTTTTGACATGAAGATTCTTCATGATCGTGAAACCATAGAAGCAAAATAAACATTTTTTCCTGAGACCATGGATCCATTCTTTGTGTTAGTGGTTCAAAGGCGGAAGGGAGGAGTATACAGTACAGTTTTGTGTCCTTTGTTTCTAAATGTCATTTAGAGAAATAACTACTCTGTAAGAGAGGTCTGAAACATGTGCCTTTTAGCAAAGCACTCATAACCCCCCCTCACTCCCAATCCTACTGGCATTGGGGCTCAACAGAGGCTTCTAAACAGAAGGAAGACCTCAAATGTTAGTCGAGAGCTGTGGCGCAAAGGAATAATTATGTTGAACATTTTAAGCGGCATGTTGGGCCACAGAGCATCAATATATAACTGACGATTAAAAGGTGACCTTGGAGTATAGTTGCCCCTTGTGTTAATCCCCACATGCAGGATCTACCACTTGGACTTGGGTCCCCACATAAATGTACTTTAGTAAGTTATTTAGGGACTCTAACAATTGATTTTGAGGCTTACAAGGGAGAGAAATGTGAATGAACTTGAGTTTCTTTTTTTTTTTAATTTCTAATTTTTTAAGGGTTTGTATTTATTTGATAGAGAGCTTGCAAACAAGTGGGAGGAGAGACAGAAGCAGAGGGAGAAGCAGAGTTCCCTCTGAGCAGGGAGCCTGACGTAGGGCTCGATCCCAGGACCCTGGGCTCATGAACTGAGCTGAAGGCAGATGCTCAACTGACTGAGCCACCCAGGTACCCCTGAACTTGAGTTTCTATTCAAAATAAATAAAGCCCCAGAATGAAGCCCTTGAGGATTCCAAAAGATAAGCAACCATTTTGTTTCTCCACTGGGTACTCCAGAGCCAAAAGGGAGAAGTGGTCCTTGGCATCCTGGGTTTGCCATCCTGAGCTTGGCTGGGTCCATGAGAGTGGGGACCTAGACCTAAGGCCTGGGGGGTGGTCACGTTATTGGTAAATCTTGGGGGTGAACATCACAGGGGACCCCTGTTTCTTTCCATTTCCTGACTGTGTTAAAATCATTCTCGAGGGGCACCTGGGTGGCTCAGTCAGTTGAGTAGGGAGCCTGCTTCTCTCTTTCCCTCTGCCCCTCCCGCTTACTTATGCTTGCTCTCTCTTTCTCTCTAATGAAATTTAAAAAACAAACAAAAACCATGATGCTTCTCTGTACCAGAGCCTCATTCCCACACAAGGTCTTGTTTCCCAATCTGAATAATGTGAAGTCATGCATAGTGCTGTAGGTAGTGGTCCTGAGGCCAAAGACTTGAGTCTGATTTTCTCCAGCTGGGTATTGTGCATGTCCTTGCCCATCGCTGTTTTCTTAGAACTTGCCCATCTCTCTTCTCAGTTCTGGCATTTAGTATTTCCATAACATGTTATAGCTGAGTTCTTCATGATCGTTTTTTAGTAGTTAGACAACTGGTCACATGCAGAGCATGAGCCAGTACTTAGCCAGCGAATGAAGTGGAAACTGTCCGCCAAACCCAGTTTCATAATCTTCCTTTAATAAAACTCTACTGTGTCATTTTGTTTGGTCCCGGTCTTTAAACCTTGAGCAGACACCAACCTGTGTAGTAGACTGGGCCTGCTGCAACACAGATTTGACTTAGAGTGGAACAAAGAATAAAGCGGACCATGAAGAGTTAAGAAAAGAAAGCCGGGGTGGGGGGGGGGAGTGGGGAGTGGTGCATTTGTTGAATAAAACTATCACGATTTTAGATTTTTTGCTTATTTCCTACAGGCCCATACCATTTTGGAATGTGTTTGTGCTTTCGAGAGCAGGTTCCCTGCTCTAATACAGAGATTCCTGCTTTCTACCTAATCACAAGTACATTCCAGAATAATCCCCAACACGAGATAGGTGCTCAGTGACTAGTTGTTGACACTTGAGCTTTGTGCATGTTTCCGTAGTGGGGCATGGTTTCTGCTGAAGCAGAGTATCCAACAGATGCCACGGGCTCTTCTCCCATTTCTCATAGGCATTTACCCACTAACTCTTCACCTCTCTGAAATCCAGCCAGTTAGCGGTATGGTCAATATGGAACCGAACCCTAGCAATGGAGGGGAGAACAAGTGTGCCCAAGATGAGAGTTTCACAGCCTGTGCTCAAGAAGGCAGGGAAACGTGATCTGTCTGGGAAATGTGTGGCCTCGCTTTTCTCATCTCTTAAATGTGAGAGTCATATGGTGTGACCTCTAAGGCCCCTTCCAACCCTGACTTCTGTGCTCCTGGGCTTTTCCAACCACCTCCTCCCTCCAGGCTTGTGTGCTCCTCTGTAAACTGAGGGGGTGGGACGGGCAGGTGTTGCAGTCCTAACTATTGGTGACTTTGAAAGAGTGAACTTTAGTTATCCAGAAAATCTAGCCCTCCAGACTGGCCATCCCCCCAGGGTATCAGGTAGCCAAGATTTCACTGCCCATTAAAGCACAATGAAAAGACTCATTGGGCCTGGGTTCAAACTGCAGCAGCAAAGTCCTCCTTCTTGGGAGGGGATGTTGACTTTGACCTACACAATTAGCTCCTCGCTGTTGGAGGCTCCTGCCCCGCCCGCTTCAGGCCAGCGTTCTGGTGGGGATAAGAGGCGGGGTGTGTGTGTCCATCAGATAGGAGCCCATAGTGTTCAGGTTTCCTCCTGACAGTTCTAATCCCTTGTTCCTGTTCCGAAGGGTAGTGTTGATAATCGGTGTCCCAAGTCACACTTCACGGCAGGTGAAGTTCATCCCAGCATCTGTTCCCTGCCCGGTATCTGCTTTCAGAAGTTTGCTCAGGACCTTGGTTGGTACTGATAGGAGGGGAATGCACTAATCCTCTGATAGCGACTGGGTAAGCAGAGGGCGGGGCTGAAAGAACAGGAGGGCGGGAACCCCAGGCTAGCTGCCGGTGCGTGATGGCTGGCCACCATCCTTTGTAAGCACTGATGAAGATGCAGGGCAGGTGGCCTGCACGACAGTGTCCCTGGAGAGAAGTGGAAGAGGATAAGAAGCCGCAGTTCTCCATGGAGGGTGGCCAGTACCACTTTTACCCTTGTTGCTTCCCTTCCTCGTGAACTGCCCAATAGTATCTGTTTCTGCCTGGTCTTCATGTGCCTTTCAGTTCTGGCCACGCACACAGTCCTTCCTGGGCAGCCAACCCAGCCAACGTGGCCTTCTCCCTGGTGGTGGTGGTCTCCCTTCAGCTGGCCAGTTAAACCCAACCCTTTCTCCCCAGTGCAACCGAAGTCTCCTCTCTTCCATTGAGCCTTGCCTGAGCACTCTGCTTTACTGTTCCCAGGCCTCAGAAGGCCTTCACCTCAGCCCAAGTTTAAGTGTATTCATGTTCTTTAAAAAAAAAAAAAAAAGATTTTATTTATTTGACAGAGATCATAAGTAGGCAGAGAGGAAGTTGGGGGTGGGGGGCAAACAGGCTGCCCACTGAGTAGAGAGCCCGACACAGGGCTCGATCCCAGGACCCTGAGAGCATTACCTGAGCTGAAGGCAGAGGCTTAACCGACTGAGCCACCCCGGCGCCCTGTATTCACGTTCTTGCCCACAGAAGACATTGAGTTTTGCCTTCAGCATAGCTACTGGTGCTGAAAGGAGCACACACTAGGGACCCTGCTACAACTCGATGCGGGGGCGCTAAGTGTCTAAGGCAGACACTGGTGGTAGAGGCCACAGCAGGCCATGCACGGTGGGCAGGAGAAGGTCGTCTCTCCTCCTATGTCTCCTGGCTGATCCTGGAACCGTGTGTGTATGAGGACTTCAGAACAATTGAGCCACATAAAATGAGTGAGAGTGAGCGTGCATGAGAGAGCGGATGGAGGGAGCGTGGGCGTCTCTGGGGTGTGAAGTGTGTGCCCCTGGGTTATTAACGGTCAAGTGGTGTTCTTCCCTCTCTCCCCACCCACCTTCTTCCCAGCATACCCTTTCCTTCTCTCTAATCTGCCTCTTCCAAGTAATAGGCCAGGCCTGCTTGGTGTTATCCATCCCAACTCATTCTTAAGTCGAATTCATGGCCAAACCTTCAAGGTCATCTGTTACTGCTGCCTCACCACTATATTTGTCTTCCCCCAAACTAGGTCAGTCCCACAGCCCAGTGTACCCAGGCCTTGCTCAAGATGACCTACTGCTCCCACTGCCAGGGGCTTGTGAGTGTGAAGCCGTGTTACAACTACTGCTCCAACATCATGAGAGGCTGCCTGGCCAACCAAGGCGATCTTGATTTTGAATGGAACAATTTCATAGGTGAGTGAGAAAGTGAGGGAGGGAGTTGTGTCGCCAGAGAAAGCTCAGCTTCCGGGCACGGGGAATATTGTAATTATCGTCCATGAAAGTTCTTCTGTGCCTTATTTATGGGATGCCAGGGTTCTAAGTGTACTTGGAGTTTGCACCATTCTACAGGTAAGTGTTCCCTTGAACTGATGGTGCTGGTACGGAAGACCTCAGACCTAGCAAATACCAAAGTATCAGAAAGAGAATGTGACTTTTTGGCATTTTTTCCCCGAGAGGTCTGTTTTAGTTACGCATCATAGGCTTGTGTCCCTGTAAATGCTGGAGTATGGCCGTTACTGACCGAACTTTGAAATCACCTGTCACGCTGGGACCGAACCTTCTATATAGTGGCCCGATGCCCGTTGGATGTTTGAACCAAGTGAAACCTGACTGGGGGGGGGGATCTAGGGGTTCTGTTTCTACAGAGGATTTCACAGTAACCTGAGTGCTCTAGTGAGCACGGAGGCCCCCTTTGCTCTAGTCATTTTAGAGGTGAGCATCCTCACAGCTCCCTGACATCCGGAATCCAGACAGCAGTGTAAGCGGGGTGCCCACTTTCCAAGAGGATTCATCAGCATCAGTGGGAAAGGACAATTTTAAGGATCGTTTATAGGTCCGGCCATCGAATTCATTGATGTGCATTTAATGCACAGCTTAGTCCTGAAAGCTCTGTGACGGGCATGGGGGCTCCTGGTCCTCCGTGCTAGTGGCGCCATACACACGCATGCACACACACATGTGCATGCGCACACACACACCAACGGCTCACAAAACAGACTCGGCTCTTCCTCCAGTGCCCAGTCACGTTTGCGTAATTGCAGAACATAAGTGGCTTTAGAAGCACCTGTTTTTCACTTCCTTGTTCACATCATGGGAACATGTGTGCAATTTGCTGGCACCTTTCGGGCAAGGGATTGGACTCGGGAGAGGTGGTTTTTTATTTTTTAGTCAGCATGAGAGCTAATTACCATATTAACTCTGTTTGAAAATGCATCAATAAATTGGCTCCAACAGATTCTTGAGAACACTGATCCGGGGGGGGGGGGGGGGAAGAGAGAGACACATGAATATTAAGCACTTCAACACAATTGTAGCCCAAATAGCTCTAAGTGAGAAGACCTGTGAAAGGGTAGCCAGAGGCAGCAGAGGCTCTCGCATGGATGGCCCAACGTGCCCAGAAGGAAGCCATGGGAGAAATTGTGGCTTTAAAATCATTCCCTCCCTCCCCCCATCCCCCACCCCGGGAAATAAAAGCTCATGGCATTTCCAGATCGGAAGTTGATGTTTCAATTTTCAATTTTCAATCCGACCCTCACCCCCCACAACCCAGATGCCAAATTTGAAGTTCCCTTCTGCTAAATTCATTTTTGTAAATGTTGGTTCGCCTTTTAACTTTATAGCATCTATTGTACTCGTTCTCCGGGCAAAGGAGGAGAATTCACCATACACTACAAACAGTGCAGAGCGACAGCCCTCGAGTTTTGCCAGCCTTTCTACAGACCGGTCACGAGTGAGGTGCAGAGGGCCGTGTCCCTTGCACTGTTCTCTTGTTCCAACGTGTCTGGCAGAAACTGTAACTCATTGTATTAAAATACAAATTCTCTCACGCTCTTTTTTTTTTTTACATTTTTACATTTTTTCCAAAGAGTTTGCAGATCCACGTCAAATCAAAACTGCACTGTGGCTTGCTTAATTAATGTTTTCAAGCAAGGAGGAGTGAGTTGCGGTGGTTGTTCTTGTTGAGAATTTTAAAAACTACGTTTGTTCTTTCAAGAAACAGAATTAAACCCGAGTGGAAATTGATAGGATTTCTGAATCCATTTTCCTCAGTTCTTTGAAATGATCCTCCTTGGAGGGATGAGGTATATAATTGTATCTAAACTTAATTTTTAATGGGTATTTTATTCTTTCTGTCCCATAAGCTGATCTCACAGGCCAGGGGTAACAGACATTGTTAATCCCCAGTGCTTTTTTTATGAATTTTCACCAGGGTTTAATTTGCTCTGTGGTTGTAGAATTCAGTCCCAATTTACATGCCTTTGCTCTAAGTTCTTTTTTTTTTTTTTTTTCCTTCGCAAAGAATTTTTCTTTCCCCTTTAAACGACTGCAGTTAACGAATGGTGATGGGCTTTTCCCCCAACTTCTTTAAAATCAGATCTTGGGGTTAAGTTGGGAAACTGCCTTTTGTTTTCCCAGTGGGTCCTGAGCCTGAAGATGGGGGTTGTGAGTCCTGGCGGCACAGCGCTAAAGGATTCAGTTTGCCTGGTGTGAAGGGGATTCTCTGTGGACGAATGGGGATGACCTCGTGCCCATAGCCTGAGCGCCAAAAGCCTGTGGCTGGACCAGGCCCCCAAAGAGACAGGCTCAGTTTTCCACATCTGCCTTCTTGCTGCTGTGTCCTCCTTTCCCTCTCTTGAATTGCTACCAGCCTTGTTCCAGATGGATCCAAACAGTTGGAACACCCCGGACCTGGTTTTGTAAGAGGTCGGCTCAGAAGGTCAACCTAGTACTCCCCACCACCACCACCGGGACGAAGTCGGTTTCCGGACAAGCTTAAATGCTGCTCCGTTGCACCTTGCTTTCCGTCACGTACTGTGGTTTGCCTTAACCTTCACCTGACGCCTAGCCAGCCTGACTCGTGTCACACGTTGTGGCCTGCAGGACTTCCATGCTGGGATGTCGGGGTGTCAGGGCTGCCAGCAGGAGCCAGGGCCAGTCAGATATCCCAGAAATAAGAGACCTTTAGCCTGGACCCACTATCTTTGACTCTCCCTCGGGGCTTCTGATCAGGGCTGGCCACTTGTAGGGAAGGGCTGCACTGAGAGCCAAGCGGGACTCCCCCCAGGGGTGGGGGGGCCCACTCTGCACATTCCTCAGCTGCCCCGTGCAGGACGCCATGGCACCGGCCCCAACAAAGGCCCGGCTTCCCTCCATTCCCAGAGTTGACAAAGACGCCAAACAGCCAGAAGAATCGGGTTTATATTTCCTTTCAGTCTTTCACAAACATATTAGTGATCCGGCCTTTCCTCACCAGTAGGGGAATGAGTAGTTCCAAAATGCACTGGATCCCCCACCCTTGCTTAAACCTCTGCATTTTGGATGTTGATTATCTGTCTATTCATAATATTTTTATTTGGAGCAAGCGACTTCCTCTACAAAGAATGTGCTTTCTGTACGTGGCAGTCCTTGACGATTTGACAATGATGAGCACGTTGAAGCGGTGCTCGACTTGTTTACAAAAGTCTCCCTTTGCTAGCCCATCAGAAGCATTTTCCCCTGTGGTACGATGCTATGTTCATGCCAGTAGCCTTTACTAAGAGGTAGGAAGTGTTACTTTATTGGTGCTTACCACAATGCAGTCTGAAACTTCATTTGTGATTGCTTTTCAAAAAAAGTGCCTTTCAGGGAAATCTGCTTGTGGTTTGTGACATCGGAATTTGCAGCTTAGAGAAATGACCCCCATGCCTTCGGATGTTGTGTTGGGTCTGTTCTAGGTGGAAGGTAAAAGGTTGATGATCAAATTGGGTTTCATGGACAGGCTGCTGCCCAAAGTCCTTTGCACCAGAAAGCTGAGGTAGAAGATGGTGGTGGCCTGCAGTCCTCTCTGAGAAGGGCATAGAGGCTTCTGGAAACTAGCCCTCCTTGCTGTGAGCTATCCTCGGCCTACCTGAAGACTGTGGATAACGTGGTAGGCCCACGTTATGCCTAAAGAGCCTTCCCTGCCGGGCCCTAAGCACCAGAGTTGAAAGGAGAGCAGACAAGTGGAAAAGTTCAGTGCTTGTCCAGAGTGAAGCACCCTTTTCCTCATTTCCAGTTTCCTCGAATTTTGACCAGGAAATATCAGGCAACAGTACTGAGCCTCATGATCCCCACAAACATGTATGGCAGAAAAACAAGTACTAAAACATTGTAGACTCCTCCAGAAGGCCAAGGTGACTCACAGAGTCATCCATGAAGACTCATACTGGGAGCATGGGCTTTTTGTGGACTGTGTCTTCTGTTGTCTTCTCACCCAAATGAAAAGAGGCACATATTTTGCTTTAACTCGAGGCCCTTGTGTTTGAAATGGGAAGTTTATCTTAATACAAAATTGCATCTTTCAAATTTTCATTATTTGAAAAGTCATTAGAATTCCTCGAAACACTCATTTGTACTTTCCAACTGTGCGCTCAAGGAGCTGAAAGGGTTTCATTTAAAAAATGAAAGAAAGCAAATGATATGCCAGGATTTTGATGGATTTATGTTTCTGAGTCTTGTAAATGGAACCTAAATGAAAAGATCCCAGGAAGTTACTGGGAGAAGTGGCATGTTGTTGTGCCCCGGCCGCAGGTTTGTCTGCGGGAGCTAGTGCAGAGCCTCACAGCGACAGCCAGCGACACACGCAGGGAATGAATAATCAGTGTGATAGAATGTTCCCGATTGGGTTTCCTCTCTGTGGAATAAAGCATCCACCTGGCCATTTCACCCTGTAGAGAGCTAGTGATACACGGTGACTAAATGCAGCTTGGTGTTAATAGAAACGGATGTAAAAACCTGAGTTGATCAGGACACGTGCCTTCTTCCCTAACCCCCTCCCCCGCTGAAACAAAGACGGGGCGAGATAAGCAGACTGATGACCCACGGCCGAACTCACCATTTACTTTTTGTGCTGTATTGTTTTTCCCCAAATGTCCTGTTAGACGCGATGCTGATGGTGGCAGAGAGGCTCGAGGGTCCTTTCAACATCGAATCGGTCATGGATCCCATCGACGTGAAGATTTCCGACGCTATAATGAATATGCAGGAGAACAGTGTGCAAGTGTCTCAGAAGGTAACGAAGGCAGGATAACTGGCAAAGAGAGGCAGAGCCCTCCCCTCCAACCCCTCTTCACAGGCCCCCCCCCCCCCAGGCTTGGGACGCACCTTCAGACCATGTTTGCTTTGATGCAGGTTTTCCAGGGATGTGGGCCCCCCAAACCCCTCCCAGCCGGCCGGACCTCCCGTTCCATCTCCGAGGGGGCTTTCAGCGCTCGCTTCAGACCGTATCACCCCGAGGAACGCCCGACCACGGCGGCTGGCACGAGTTTGGACCGACTGGTGAGCACTTTGGCGCAGGAACGGGCGTGTTTAATGACAAAGAACCGAAAGCATTTGCTCCAAATGCAGTTTTAGTTGGAAGTCTGTCAAGTGCGGGTCTTTCAGGTGAAACTTTACAAGCAGATTGCATGTGGATGTCCATAAATCTGCCTCTCATTTTCTGGCTCATAAAGTCCATACATCGTTAGGAAACACGGCGCATCTACTGTGCACCCATCACTGTGCCCGTTAGAGGGAGGCGCAGAGCGATGGGACACCTCCTCGTTCTAAAGAAGCCCCCGGCGCAGCGGGAGAAGCAGGCATCCCCGGCTACACGAGCGGAGGGGATGTGCGGGGAGTGTTGGGATGGCGGGAAGGTGGGAGAGAGCTTCTTGCCACGCGTCGCCAGGGCAAGGGCTGGGGGGGGGAGGCGTGGTGACAGGCACGCACAGTTGCACGGAGGGAACAGTATAGACGCTGCAGCCGGAGGAGGAAAGTCTTCTCATCCCGCGGGGCCTGGAGGCTGGCGGGCCTCAGACGGTAGCTGCGAAGAAGAGGGAGAGTGGACGGTGGATATGGGTCGCTCCCTCGGGGCCTGCATTCCAGCCATTAGTTCACTGGACTGAGTTTGTTCTTTCTGTATAAATTTGATCTGCATTTTTCTCTTGTGACTCGAGTTGAAAAGGAATTGCCTAACACTCTGGAGCTACTTTAGAGATGATCAAAAGACACATGTGTAGGCTGTTGCGTGCTTTTACAGAGGTCTCTTTCCCTACCCCTCCCACCATGAGGTTACTGATGTCAAGGAGAAGCTGAAACAGGCCAAGAAGTTCTGGTCCTCTCTGCCCAGCAATGTTTGCAGCGATGAAAGGATGGCCGCCGGGAACGGCAATGAGGACGATTGCTGGAACGGGAAAGGCAAGAGCAGGTTAGCCGCGGGCAAGTGGGGTGGCAGTCTCTCTTCCCACCTTCCTGGGGGCTCGCTGGCCTTTCAGACGGGGGTCACTCAAGTTGTCACTCAAGGGAGGCATCATGAAGTACTTGACAGTAGGTAGCAATAGCATGGTTGGCTTCTAGATGTTCTAAGGAACAGGCTTTGCCCCTCAAGCCTTGTGAAGGCACCCAGCTGTTTGCGGAGCGTACTGGGCCAGAGGTCTGCGATGGTGGCTCTGGTCCAGCATGAGGACTGCAACTCAGGGTTCTGGTAGCATCATCTTCCCTGGGTTTTAATGCCTTTGGTTCTTAGCCCCCCGGTCTGGCCTCCTAAAGCTCCAGTTCCCCCAAAGGTCTCATTCTCTTCTTGGGTGATGTCTTATGTAGCCACCCCTCCATACCCAGTAACTTTCCTAAGTCCCCACTGTATCGGCCCTTGACTCTGACCCACCAACGTCCGTTAAAAGGGGTAGCTTTCCAAAAGGTCCCCATCAAAGTGGAGAAACAAGAAATGGGACAACTTTCCCCTGAACTGCACTCAGTGGGAATACTAGAATCAAGGCAGAATTCTCTGATCTTCGGCGACTTTGAGCTTTACCGATCATCGTAACGGGATCATTTTCCATTTCAGATACCTGTTCGCGGTGACGGGAAATGGCTTGGCCAACCAGGGCAGTAATCCGGAGGTCCAGGTGGACACCAGCAAACCAGACATACTGATCCTTCGCCAGATCATGGCTCTTCGGGTTATGACCAGTAAAATGAAGAATGCTTACAATGGGAATGATGTGGACTTCTTTGATATCAGTAAGCACCTGTGGTTTGAAACTTACACCTTGTTCTCGTCCACCATGTAATGAGAACAAGTGGAATGAAATGTCTGTTCCTCTTTTTTTTTTTTTTAACTAGGTGATGAGAGCAGTGGAGAGGGAAGTGGAAGTGGTTGTGAGTATCAGCAGTGCCCTTCGGAGTTTGAGTACAACGCAACCGACCACTCCGGGAAGAGCGCCAACGATAAGGCCAGCAGTGCTGGTGGCCTTGCCAGGGCACAGCCCTACCTTCTCGCTGTCTCCTGCATCTTGCTCCTGGTCATGCAGAGAGAGTGGAGATAATTCTGAATCGTAGAGAAAAAGTTCTCTTCAAAAAGTTAAAAAGGCACCGGTTATCACTTTTATACCATCCTAGTGACTTTGCTTTTTAAATGAATGGACAACGATGTACAGTTTTTACTATGTGGCCACTGGTTTAAAAAATGCTGACTTTGTGTTTTCATTCAGTTTTGTGGGGAAAAGGGACTTGTATGTATAAAGGCAGTTCCTGCTCCCCCAGAATCATGTTAAACGTGGCTAACAGTGTAGGTACAGAACTGTAGTGAGTTGTGCATTTGTGATTTTATCACTCTTGTTTGTTTGTTTTTTTTTTTTCTTTTTGTTTGTGGGGTTTTTTTTTTTCTCCTTCGATTATGATCTCACCTTGTTTCTTACAAGAAAACCAGGGTCCTTTCTTGGCATGTAACATGTACGTATTTCTGAAATATTAAATAGCTGTACAGAAGCAGGTTTATTTATCATGTTACCTTATTAAAAAGCCCAACAAGCAGTAAAATGTCCATTTATCCCTGTTGATGGGTTGCCTTCTCTGGAGAGGAATGGATATGATTTTGTTTTTTTTTATTATTAAGTTAGGACAGAATGTGAAGGCACAAGGGGGCTTCTGAGCCACTTGGTAGGTTGGATTCAGGCATCAATGCAAGAAGGCTCTACTTCCCTGATAGCCGAGGACTGGAAGACACTGCAGACCATATCCATCTTGGTCGAACTGAATTACATAAACTAAGATCACAGGTCCGTTTCTCGAACCCGCTTATACTTAGAGCAGAACCCACTTAGAAGAAGATTCCTTTTCAGTACACTCTCCCTAGAAATATAGAAGGCGTTCAGGATGTCTGAGTTATCACACGTTCACACATAGTTTAGGGGGTGGGTTTTTGTCTTTTTGTGTCTTATCCAAGCAAGTTAGCAAGCCGCTGTGTGCTGGTCTTCATGTCCACACTGACCTGCTTTGATTTCCTATCCCAAAGGCAGAAATAAGTGACCAAGAAGCTCATTTTGTCCGCCTTGTTACAGCATCCCAAATTTCACACCCCACCGTGTAGAATAGGGAACTCTCTGGGGGCCAGCCAGAACCGGGGTACAGTCTGGGCGCCCTAAATAGCTGTCAGCACTCCTCCAGCAAACTTCTCGTCTGTGCATTTGCGTCTGGTTTTGGATCCCCGTTTTTGTAAAACAAGGTTTCTAAAGTGTCCTACTTGAGTTGTCTTCCCCAGGCCCATCTGATCAGAAAGGCGAAGGGCTTGCTGTGGGTCATGGCCATGTGCTCCCCTGTCAGCCAAAAAGTCTGCTTGGGGCCATCTGGGTGTCCAGGATTTTTTCACGTGTTGTCGTTGTTGAGAGGCAGACGGGAGGGACTAGTGAGCCCAGAAGACAATAGCTTAGTGGTGACCCTTAGTCATGGTTCTGGGGGCGGGGCGGGGGGGAGGTGGCACGGGGATCTGGCAAAGGCCAGAGCTGTTGGCCCAGGCCAAAGACAACCCCGTTCCTTGTATCCTTACCAAATGACAGCTTATAAAACCATGAGAATGTAACAGCTCCCTTTAAAAAGGAGTTCCCAGAAAGTCTTCAAAGAGGGAAGATCCTGCAAGTCTCTTCCTGCGTTAGGCAGCCAGATCTCCGACGCCACAGAAGCTAACACCCACGGAGGGGTGGTTTGTGTTCCTGTTGAATCTTCAGTTGTTAGACTAATTCTCTATTTTTATATTGAAACATAATTACTTGATAGCTCAGGGTCTACATTTCATTCAGCTTTTCACACCAAATTCTTCAAGAATGGTCAACATGGAATATTGGGGGCTGTTGTAAACAGAGGCTTAATTTTATTAGAAGTATGCAGTTATTTATTAAAGCATGATGTTAATAAAATAGGCATATTCTGGCTGGTGTGTATAAGTGTTTTTTTTTTTTTAAACAAATCACAGAAGACCTAAAATGGAAAAGGTGCTCCATTTATGTATGAGGAAAAATGGATTGTAAATAGCTAAGCTGCCTTGTGAGAACTTGGAAAATGTGCTGATACTTAGTAACTACCTCAGTTGTGAGGAATTTCCTTTTTAGCTTAGACTGCTATTACTTCGACTTGGTAGAAATGAATCTGGTCTCCAAAATGTGGCTCAAAGAGTTATCCCCGTAGACCTTGTGAGTTGTTTTTAATTTTAAAACCTTGAACTCTGCCCAGCTGTTTTCTTTCAGTCAACTTCTCTACACCAATAACATTTTCCGAATTAAATATTCTTGAAGGTTCTTCTGGACTCTCACTGATTTGTTTTCTTTCTTTGCGTTTTTTCCTGTTACCCTTTTATTATTTAAATTGTCTCTTGCTTTTGAACTATGAAATAAACAAATCATAGATTTTTCCATTCAGATCCGACTGGATAACTCTTGGCTCCTAACCAGCTGGCAGGCTCACCCTTGCACCCTGTCCCACCCCTGCTCCGTAAGAAAGAATAAACGCAAGCTGAATATTCTAAAATCTTTTAAGAGTTCAGAGTATGAGGTAGAATAAAAGCTTTGTTGGTAGACCTGCCTTTTCCAAAGTCTCTGTTAATAGCATGTGACTTTTTGTTTTACAAAGTCATTTGGAAATTATTTTTTCTTTCCAACACTTCACCACCCTGTACCTCAAGAAAAAAACATTTTTAACGACTCTCAGATTTACATTTTATTTCAAAAACCGTCCGTAATTAGCACCTATTATTTGATAAAAGACAAAAGTACAAAGAATTGACATGCATTTAAAAACTTTCGTCCCCTAACAGTTTATGTGAAAAAGATTTTGTCATTTGTGATTCTAGAACAGACATAAAAATAGATGTGGATGATGATGTGCAAAATTCTGCTTGCCCCTTGGTGTCTGCGGAATGCGCCCACTTGCAGAGCTAAAGTGTGGGAAGTCAGTGACCGGACCTGTGCACGTGCACAACTACCAAATACAACTTTCTTCATTGAAATAAGGGAACAAGGGCCGAGAACTATTTTTTTCAACTTCAAACCTAGTGGGGAAAATACACCTGTGCATTCTGGGATACACTTTATTGCACAAGTTCAATTTCTACTTTTAATCTCCTAGTTATTTTCTTCTGGAAGTCTTTACAGAGGTGCAAAATCCCCGAAAGATAACCTGTGGTAATCTAGGAATTCCAGCCCATCAGTAAGGCCAATCCACGTAGTATTTACTTGTCTAATTTTGCTTTCCATTAGGTAATGTTCTGACAGGGTTTAAAAACCAAAATCTACATCAAGATATAGAGGGAAAGTTTTCCTCCTGTTCCCACATCCAACCTGTCCAGTTACCCCACACTCTAAACTTACTAGTTGATGAGTGTGTATGTATGTATATATATGGAAAATTTGGAAGAAACCATATATGTATGTATATGTATAAGCCTATATATATCTTCCAAAGTTTCCTTAAACATACACAAGCAAATATGAATGGAGATTTCCCCCTGTTTTCTAGGTCAGTTACATTATTGAGGGATTCCTAAAGATGCGGAGTCCCATTTTAAATGCATGGCTGCTCAGTGGTACCCCATTTGGGATTTTTCTGTATTTTGGCCCAGTTGAATGGAGGTGATTTGTTTCCAAGAAACAAACCTTGAACTGAATGACTCCCCTTAGAATAACATAGTCCAGCCTATGGCCCTACCACCCTGAACGTGCCCGATCTCGTCTGATTTCGGAAGCTAAGCAGGGTCGGGCCTGGTTAGTACTTGGATGGGAGAATAATGTCCCTTTTTTTTTTTTAAGGTTTATTTTAGAGAGTGAGAGCATGTAGTGGGAGGGGCAGAGGGAGAGGGAGAGAATTTCAAGCAGACTCCACACCCAGCGTGGAGCCTGGTGCTGGGCTCGATATCAGGACCTTGATCTCGACGTGAGGCGAAACCGAGAGTCGGATGCTTAACCCACTATACCACCCAGGTGCCCCCAGGGTAATGTTCTCTTAATGTTTCCTCAAGCCCAGAGGCCTTGAAGCCACAGCCGCGTCATACAGGCTGGAGATGAGAATGTTAGGGAAATGCATACGTAGATCTCCGTCACCCATGAAGGAGCTGTCTGATGGCCAAGGAGCCATTAAAATATGCAAATGATTGTCAAAGTTCTGTCATCACGTTAGGTTGAATCTTTATTCATCACTGTTTGGAGACACTTTAGTCGGTAAAATCTAGGGGAATTCACTTCTCAGCACGAGTGTCCACATGTGGCATTAAATGCACATTTTACTTTTGACTTTTCCCGGAATCCTGGGCAAAGGCACAGGGCTGTTGAAAAGCAAAAAGGTTTTCATGCGTCGGTCCTGCCAGGTAAAAGCTGATGGGAGTTGACCAATCTGGTTAAAGAATAAAGAGAACGCGTGTGTGATGTGCACGGTGCTTTTCAAAGGGGTTTTAAGGTATTGTTTTCAGGTGTCTGGGGAAGTTTTGTAGTAACTCTGTGTTATTGTGTTTCTTAAACGAGGCAGAGCTGGGAGTCTGTGTGTGTGTGTGTGTGTGTGTGTGTGTGTGTGTGTGTGCATGCGCTTGCATACCTCTACATACCTATATCCAGGTTTGTGTCTTTTCAAACACTTAATCCCAGGCAGACCTTACCCTTTCACTTAAAGGCTGCCTTCCCCCTGCTGTCAGTGGTGTGTGCTTGGGGAATGCAGACTAATTTTAATAATAGCCTAAGGGAAACATAATTAGGAAGGTAAGCCTCCTGCCAAGAACAAACTACACACACGCACATATAAAATGCATTCCAGATAGAATTGCTTCGGTTTACTACAGCCTGGGCCTTGCTTTTTTGTACCAACACTGATAACCCAAAGCTGACTGTAACCCACTGTTCCCGGGGACTCCCCACACAGGGCAGTTGGGGCCAGGTCGGCCACAAAGGAAGAATGCTGGTTGGTGGGTAATCTTCTGGACAGTGGCCTTGGGCTCTGAACCCGTTCGCTGCACTTGCCTTTCTAGGTCTTGAGGGCCCCTGCCCTCATCTCGCTTTTAAAATGTAATGAAAAACTTGTTTCAGTTCTGAATAATTTGCAACAAGCTCTGGCCGCAGCAACAGAAAGTTATTTAAACATATTTTCTGTAAAAAAAAAAAAAAAAAGTTCTTGTTTATTCACGGTGAAGCAGGATGAACCCGGGTGCAGGCTACTAAGGCCAGGCCGCATCCATGGTCACCAGTAGAAGTTGCTCCATTTTGCCCATGAGTATAAGGACTCGAAGACATTAGGTAACTTTCCCAAGGGTGACCTACAGGTAAGAAATGTGAGAACCAGATTTGAAACCAAGGTTGGCTGGCCCCCAGAGACTGTTTTCTTTTCCTTTTTTCCCAAGTGCCACTTTTTCTTCCATTATCCTCTTCCCTTTACTCTGCTGTCACAGTCCTCAGGAAGGGGCAGGCCTGTTGGGCATGCTGTAGTGAGCACTGTCCTGGACATGCAGAAGG